ATTTTACCGAGAACCATTTAACGTACTAAAAGTGCAGGGTCCTTTGTCAAAATATGAAGGTAGAAGGTTATGTAACATTTTGTAAATATATAACATCGTTAAATATGTAAGCCTGCTTTCTATAGATAACCATTCTAGAGTATCTAGCATTAAAGATATCGTCGTACTCCTGTCACATCTCAAAATAATCCTCATTGCTCGATTCTGTAATTTCTGTATAGTGTTCTCATTTTATTTGAATCAGATGTGTACGAAAGAGTAGGACAATATTGGAAATGTGGTTGTGTAATAGTCTTATACACTGTTATTCGTGACTGCATAGTTAAGTGCTGAGACACTCTTGTAAAAAAATACAATTTCTTTAAAAAAAATTTCTGTATGTAATTAAAATGGCTATTCAGTGATAAATGATTGTCTTACATGAATCCTAAATATTTGAATTCAGTAACAAACTCAATTTTGTCATTATCAATTTTTTATTTCAAGTTGCTTTAAATCTAATGCTCTGTATTTAAACGGTGTAGTAAGTATCATGGCCTTTGTTTTGTTGACATTTAGTTTTAATTTATTAGTTTTTAAATATGTAGAAATATTGTTCAAGGCTTTATTCATTTTTTGGATAGCTTTATTTAGATCTTTATCACTTACCGATGCTAGAGCATCATCAGTAAAATAATGTTCATAATCACATTCACTACATTTGTTGATATCATTAATGTAGATTAAGAATAACAATCGCCCTAGAATGCTTCCCTGGGGAACGCCATGGTCTACATCGTTCGATGAACTACAATGGTTTTACATGCCTTTGGGACATACAGTGTGCGTCTCACGTCAGATGGAAACACCCCTGTATCTTACATAATCGTTTGGTAAGGATCCTGAGATTTGCTGAAGCGAGAGATATACCAAAAATGCACTATATGACCAAGTGGGGTCATCTTCAGTGATTTACACTGATCGCCAACAGCCATGAAACCACCCCAATTTTTGGAAAATTATATTAGGAGGCAAAATAGGTTGAAAATCACTTCAGATTCGGAATCCCCACGTTCGATTCACTAACTATTTATATTTTTCCTAAAGAATTTTCAGTACCGAAAAACTAATTTTTGTCTCACTTGTCATGGAAACACCCCCGTATTTTACGTAATCGTTGGTTTAGGATCCTGAAATTTGCTAGAGATATACCAAAAATGTACTCTATGACCAAGTGTTGTCATTTTCAGTGATATACACTGCTCGCCAACAGCCGTGGAACTACACACAAGTCCGGAAAATAATATCAAGGAACAAGATAGAATGAAAATCGCTTCGGATTCGAGAATAGGACATCCAATTCATTAATTTTCCATATTTTGACGCATTATTATCGGTAACGATTTTCCTCATACTATTAACGATTTCTGATCTATTGGATCACTCCTGATAATCTATTCGATTGTACTAGTTCTGATTGTTATTTCATTATCCCTAGTGGAAACTGACTTCATGATGATCAATTTCAGAACAACCATTGAGTGACTTTTCCGATTTAATTCCTGTAATGTCGGTGGTTCTGTGGCTGCTGGCGAGCAGTGTATCATTGAAGATGATCCTACTTGGTCATTGGTCTCTTTCTTGCATTAAAATTTCAGACTTCTGCATCAATAATTACGTGATATACTGGGGTGCTTTCATGAAAAATGAGACAGAATTTATTACTTCAGAAGGAAAAATGCAGCGAGAAGGAGAAGGAATATTATTTTTCAGGTGAATAGTGATCTCACATAATTTTCATTATGAAATTTGGTCATTTCTCATTAGAATTCCTTCTGCCACTTCTGCAACAGAAGCTAATACTGCTAATATCTACAACACACACGATCATATTTCGTCAGCAGATCAGACCAGTCCTGTCGTTTGATTGCACGAATCCAATATTTTTGCCTTCTTTCAGAAACTTCTCAAGTATTTCTATTAGCTTCTATTGCAGAAGGAATTCCAATGAGCAAATTTCGAAATGAAAACTATATGTGACTGACAACAGTACTTGATCACAATGTACCAACCTCACCTACCTGAAAAATCGGATTCCTGCGTCTCTCGCTGCATTTTTTGTGCATTGTTCCACCGCGTGATGGCATGCTTGAATTATTGAATAGCCGAAGAACACGATTCTTATGCCAAAATAATTGTAAACAAATAAGATAAGTGAGGTTATATTTCAATGTTGTGCCTCCAGGGTCGGTCATCTTACTTTTCTTGCACGCAACCCAAAGAAATAACTCAAATTTATAGCGATAGAGTACTTTTCGCAGAACAACAATTATAAAAATGAGAAGAATGCATGTAACAACATTTCATTATGACAAAATAGACCCATATGGATATACTTATAGCTAGTTCTTTCGGTATTGAAGACGCCATTCAATGATATACAGTGAGTACAAGATAAGGATGTCTATCATGGGGTATAGTTGATGATGGTTTCTCGGAAACGAAACGTCGTACTGAAGATATCTCGATGCTATTTTTTAGAGCTACAAAAATGGGAATGAGAAAGTGTCTTCTGTTTTCCTATATCTCTTTAATTAACGCCAGAAAAAAATAGAGGCGATTCTGTTGCATTCTGTATTTCAATTTATTATATTTTGTCCAGTTTCGCCTTCAGCGGACACACATTGTATATACTCTTTTTCTTTATGTAAAATGAAAGTGAAAAGTTAGTGAGCTTTGAAATATTTTGTTCAATAACGGGTGGCAATAAAAAAATAATTCAAGTCTGACAAATGACAAAATAAATGCAAATTACCGCACAGGAAAGTGCCATTTTTCAATGACTTGCGAAATACAGGGTGTTCCATTTAAAAAAATCAACTAGTACCCTGTTGAGCGTTTGTTCCGAGCATCCCGTATTTTTTGATGTAGTGGAAACATATTCTTTGAAAAATCATTTCTCATAATTTTCACAATTTTGAAATTGTTCCAAAAATAAATGACCTGGAGGGCAGGCATTTATGGTGACTCACCCTGTACTTGATACGTCGTTTAATCGTGAACTGATGATGTTGAAAATACGTAAAAAACGTATATTATTATGCAAAAAAAATGAATTGATATCAAATGAGTAGTTGAAAACACGAAACAACGTGTATGTTAGCGACATTTTCGCGTTGTTTCAACCGACCGTCGTCTTAATTTCACTACGTTAGGCATTTCGACGTATGTGTGTTGACTGGGATAGGCCTTCGATGTAGAAATTCTGATCGTATACTAGGGGTGGGCAAATTTATCGATATATCGATAATTATCGATATTATCGATAATAATTCAGATAAAAAATTATCGGTTATTTATGAATCTAATTTATCGATATCATCGATAATATCCATAATATCGATAATTATAGAGGAAATTTTCGATAAAATGTTCGATGATTTTCGATAATTTTCGAAATATCCGTTGATTGTTGATTTCAATCGCCCACTCCCATAGTCCATTCCAACTGAGAATCATCATAGGAAGTCATAGGGAAGCGCTTTCATAGGTTAATATTGGAGGCAATATTACACTTCTTTTTTTTATGTATGATAAATTGACATTCATCATACAGGACGTGGAAAGAAATTCAGAATTATATCATATGCATATCTTTACATGAAGGATAATGCAAATTCTCTACTTCAGAAGATTTTGTTTTCAAATTCTTATCGTGTGTGTTCGATAGATGTGATTCAATATTCGTCGTGGCAAATAGAGCCAGGAAAGTAGTTGTTTTCTATTGAATAAACCGAGAATGAATTAATATTCTCATCACATGGAGAATGCGAATTCTCAATGTATTTCTTTATATATAAATATATATCCATTTTTTGTGTTCATAAATATATCTGAGAATGTTCCTTTTCAATAATTACACTTCCTGCTTTATATTATGACTTCACGACGTGGCGTAAAGGTTGACGTTTTTTACATGTTTACATCATAAAATTTCTACTATTTTTCGTACATTAAAATATTACCATCATTTTTGGGTCAGGCGTCATACCTATATTTATTTCGTCAGTGTAAACATTCCTTCGATTTCCACCCGTAACACACCCAATGATCCTTTTCAGGTACCTACTTGATGCAAAAAATATCGACACTATCGATAATATCGATAATTTATAAAAAATTATCAAGTTATCGATGACATCGATAATATCGATGATATATACAAAATCATCAAGTTATCGATGATATCGATAATATCGATAATATCGATAATATCTATAATATCGATAATATCGACAATTTTGATAATATCGTTAATATCGATAAAGCGATAATATCGATACAATGTGATTACCGATAAACGATAATCATAAAACACTATCGTCCACCCCGAGGTCCACCCCTATCGTATACTATATGAATTTATGGCAATGGAGCACCTATAATAACTACAATAATTTTGTTTTTCTCCGATTGGCAGCAAATATTAATTTTGCTGACACACATCAATCAGCAAAGTATTACTTCTCCTGCCTAGGCAGCAAAGTGGGTACTTTGCTGATTGATATGTATCAGCAAAATTAATAATCCATAAATCGTTTATAATTTCCTTCATATTTCATCCGAGACTTCTCCGGCAACAAATTCAACTCTATATTTTTTGCCACCTCCCTCATTTCTGGAGGTGTTCCAGGTCGCTATCGCTGTCCATTATATAATAATTTAAATAATCCGATATTTTTTCGCACAACTGTCAGAAATTCCATGAATTGTCAAACTATAATTATTATGGACATTTCCATAGCAATCAACCATTCCAACAACTGCGATTTCGATCAAATTTTATTATAATTGAACATTACAGGAAAAATAAAGAGATATATAGCATTAAGAACAATCGGAGGAAAAATTATATGTTATATGCTGGATTCCTAGCCTCGCTACGCTCGGCTATGAATTCAGCCTCGGCAGTCAATCTACTACTTTACTGCCTAGTTAAACAAATAACTATTTTTTGACAGGTGCAATGGTGCAACCCCCCTCGTCGAGAGGTGCAGAACCGCGAGTTAGCCAACAACTGCCGCAACATCAACAACACGCTGGCTGCCACCCTCGGGAGGCGGGCCAGGGGGCGGCGAGCCACCCCCGCCTCTGCCCTCTGCTCGCCAGAGTCCTCGCCAGATGATAGTCTCTTCGATGTCGAAGGTAATGTCTGCTTGTGCTGATGTCATAATAATAATGAGTAATTTATTTACGGAGTGTCTAATAAACTGGCAACATTGATATGTCGTGCTCCAAAATATAACCTGAATTCAAAGTAGAATAACTCACGGATTTCCTTACCAATTTGAAATCGGTTTTCACCGATGATTAGCCTAATCTCTTGATAGTTTGTTGTGTCGATTTTTTTTTCCGAAAAATGAATTTTTTGACCGTGCCTCGTATACACCCTGATTTACTATAATTCATGTGATTATAACTAGACATGTTTATGAGTTTCGACCAATACATTTTTCAGCTTATTTTGTTTCATTTATACTAAAAAAACAGTTTTTTCTTTGTCAATCCTATACACCGATACGACGTTTTTACGAACTTTGTAGGCTTATATCTCAGAAACTAAACATACAAAACTTTTCAAACTCACATATTTTTTTGATGAGCCATCTCACAACAACATAGTCAAATTTCAGCCAATTCGACCAAGAGCCAATTTACCGTGTTTTCGTGCGGGGTCCTTTCGTGAAAAAAATTTCATTTTTGCATAAGATAAAAATAAAAATCCAAAAACTTGATTATTTTGGTTATGTGAAAAAAGTGTCATCACAAAAGTTGTAGGTCTCTTTATAACCTGAAACTTTGCTATTCAACTTATTTCCTTAGGGCTGATAGTTTTGCTGGAAATCAAGGTAAACCGTTTTTTACCCTTCACGACCCTAGATCGCCCGTAATTTATTTTCCCTTTCGCATCTTTGTTATATTCCCTTTTTATTCAATGAGTTCCATCCTACTATAATTTTTCTTCACATTTTACCGTTTTCGAAGGCTTCAGCACTGGTCTATTTTGCTATTACCAAAGGACCAGAAGTTGGACGAGTCTGAAGCAATACGATTTTCTGCCGAATGAACAGAGTTCTGAAAAGCTACGAAGGCGCTGAAAGGCCACCTGTACCCTTTTTTTTTCGAATCCCTACTTTAAAGTCGGACCCCCGACTTCAATCTCGGGATCCCGACTTTATTCTCGGGATCACGACTTCAAAGTCGGACCCCCGACTTAAATATCGGACCCCCGACTTTAATCTCGGACCCCCGACTTCAATCTCGGGATCCCGACTTCATTCTCGAAATCCCGACTTCAAAGTCGGACCCCCGACTTAAATATCGGACCCCCGACTTTAATCTCGGACCCCCGACTTCAATCTCGGACCCCCGACTTCAATCTCGAAGTCTCTCAACTATACGAAGTGGAGAAAACTTCAAATATTGAAGTTGTAGGGTCCCATCTGTACAATCTTGTTGCACCCTCTGAACAAACAAATGCTAATCGCATAATGCAAAAAGAGAGTATGATGGAACCTTCATTACTGAACTTTTGTGGATGTACATCCGAACGTTACTTTTTATACGTACCTACCTATACAGAGTGGGCCATCGAAAACGAAACAGCGGCTCTGTAGGTCGGCAAAACCGGATTATGAAAAAAATCTGAAACACGTCAACTACATTTTCGAGGGGGACATGGTTCTAAAATATTTTCAGCCCCGCGGCGTTGCCGCTTCTAACGAAAAGAAGCAACAACTTTGTTATTTCAAATGGAACACCTTGTATTTCATTGCATTTTTAGATTCTCCCCGAAGAGCTGATTTTATCAATGCATCACACTTCGGGTCTAGCTGGAATGATTTCAGGGATATAGGGTGTTAAAAAATCGAGATTCTTCAACTTTAGGATTTTTTGTGTCGAAACTATCCATTATTGGTCAAAACGGCTTTCATGTCCCTATCTCAACTTTTGATTTACTATCTACTGACATTTATTTGAAACAAATACAGGGTGGTTCAAGATTCAGACTTCTGATCACCCTGTATCTGTTACAATGAAATGTCAGTAGATAGTAAATCAAAAGTTGATATAGGGACATAAAAGCCGGTTTGACCAATAATGAATAGTTTCGACACAAAAAAATCTTAAAGTTGAAAAATCTCGATTTTGACACCCTATATCCCTGAAATCATTCCAGCTAGACCCCAAGTGTGATGCATTGATGAAATCAGCTCTTCCGGGAGAATCTTAAAATGCAATGAAATGCAAGGTGTTCCATTTGAAATAACAAAGTTGTTGCTTCTTTTCGTTAGAAGCGGCAACGCCGCAGGGCTGAGAACATTTTAGAACGATGTCCCCCTCGAAAATGTAGTTGACATGTTTCAGATTTTTTTCATAATCTGGTTTTGCCGACCTACAGAGCCGCTGTTTCGTTTTCAATGGCCCACTCTGTATATAATATGTACATACAATAATTTAACATCCATTGGATAATCATCACGATCAATCGAAAACTCCTTTTTGGATGCACACTGAATGTCAAATAATGGATCACACCTGTACGATCATCATCGTACGTACAAGGTGATATATTTTACTCAATAGCTGTGAATCTCATTGTTGAATAGATACAAAAAAATTGAGACAATCGGAATTGTTAATAGTCATCTAGAATTTTTTTTAGGTATAATGTCTATATGACTGACATAGAAAACATATATTTTCACAAATGCATGGAATACCCTCAATTTCATTCCGTCCATGGGTAGAGCTCAGAAAGATGAGTTCAATGATATATGATATAATATGGGTATGAGATCACCCGTTTCGGACTATTTCCATAATCTTCTTCAATAAATCGCCAAATTTCAAAGCCTTATTAAAACGTTGAGAATCAAGTTTCCGATGCCCAGTTTCCATAATAAATTAACAAATGATATAATATGTTATATTGATATTTGGTCAATATTAAGAAAATTTGAATTAACCAAAAGTGATGAAGTATTTTGCAAACCGATAATTTTCTCGGAATTTTCGAATATATCGCCTTGTATTTGATTTCATCCTTGGATAGAGCTAAGAAAGACAAATTCAATGATATATGATAGCATGGGTCTGAGAACACCCGTTTCGGACTTATCCATGAAGTCCTTCAATAAGTAATAAAATTTCAAAACCCTCTAAAACCGCTGTGAAATGAGTAAAAATTGAGAAAGAAATATAATAGAGTTATGAATTAGTATAGTGATTTAGGATCAGGATCAACATGTGAACCATGACAGACATTGACTGCGCAGTTAGTGCACCTTTCACGGTTAGGTAACAAGTGTCTTCGACTTTAATATCGGGATCCTGAGATTAAAGTCGAACCCCCGACTTTAAAGTCGGGATCCCAAGATTAAAGTCGTTGACCCGACTTCAAAGTCGAGATCCCGAGAATAAAGTCGGACCCCCGACTTTAAAGTCGGGATCCCGAGATTAAAGTCGGGGGTCCGACTCAAATGTCGGGATTCAAAAAAAGGTATAGGTGGCCCTTCAGCGCTTTCGTGTTTATTTTATTTTTTAAGTTGCGATCTGATTTCCTTCAGATGCTGAACAAAGCTGCTCATCCGCAGACACCAGCCCCCAAGACGAAGACCTCCCCTTCGACTTATCCGATTCAGAATCCTCCGAAGACGGCAACCTGAGCGACGCGGCAATCCTGCCCCAGCGCAGGGGCATAGTCAACCCCAACTACCCTGGCTTCCAGCACCTGGCACATACCCTGGCCTCTGACGCCGACTACACCGACGACGACCTCGATTTCGCTCAACCGGACGCCGAGGCTAACAACAACAATGTGACAGAGACGGACTATAAGATTGACAGTGTGAATCGGTTGGATAGTGTCGAGAATATCCAGAAAGTGTTTTACGATAAGCCGGCGTTCAATATCGAACAGGAGGATGGGAACGACCAGGAAAGTGATTCGGCTAGTGGGAATTCGAACAATAGCGACGAGGATACTGAGATTCAGGTGCCGCTGAATATCAACGTTGACGAGAAGGGAGTTTCAAAAGATATTGTTGGTGAGGCTTCTATTTTTATCTCATCATACTTCTTATTTCATCTCATTTTATAGTCAAACCATTGTCGATCTAAACGAAATAACAAATGTGCAAGAAGGTATTTCATTCCAGAATCACGAGTCAGGTGGCGATTCAATGGCAATCATTTAATCTTTGGCACACTTCTGGCACTATTTATCGGTGATGAAATAGTATATTGTACACCTAGGGTGAGAAGTGAGCTATATTTAATAGCAAGCACTTTCATATACAGAGGCGCGGAGCTCTTGAGAATATAATTTGTGAGCTGTATAATAGCATTAGCACCCGAGGTGGAAATATTAGCATCTCCGTAGTCAGTACATTCTATGTTGTGTATTTATCAATACACTTTCATTATCTTACTCTCTACTTCTTTTCAGTTTTGCTATCTATAGAAGGGTCTTTCTTTAGTTTTTCAAACTACTATTTATCTTCTATTTTTTAGTTCGGCAAAAGCGTGTTTCTTAGTGTTCTTATATTTTTTGTGAGTACCCAATTTTGACGAAAGAATCATAGTCTCCGATCTCGTTAATACCCAGATATCAACTTTGAATAGAATCGGATCATATAATTACAAAACTCGTCCACTATATATCGGATGCATCATCTTGAATTTTCCCATTTTGACGAAAGGCTCATAATCTCTCATCCCGAAAACCTCACATATCCAAATTTTGAATAGATTTGGATCATAATCACAAAACTCGTTCACCATATTGGATCCGCCATCTTGAATTTCCCAATTCCGACGAAAGAATCATTATCTCCGACCTCAAAAATCCCCAGATGTATAAAATCGTATCATAATTACAAAACTCTTCTGTCATATTGGATCCGCCATCTTGAATTCTAAAATTTTGACGATAGAATCATAATCTCTGATCCCGAAAACAGTCACATACAAATTTTGAATAGATTCGGATCATAATTACGAAACTCGTCGTCCATATTGGATCCACTATCTTGAATTTCCAAATATTGACGAAAGATTTATAGTCTCCGATCCCGAAAACCCCTAGATACAAATTTTCAATAGATTCGGATCATAATTACAAAACTCGTTCGCCATCTTGAATTTCAAAACTTTGACGAGACCCCGAAAACCCGCAAATTCAAATTTTGAATAAATTCAGATCATAATAACAGAACTTGTTCGCCATATTGGATACGCCATCTAGAATTTACAAATTTTGACCAAAGAATCATAATGTTTGACCCCGAAAACCCCTAGATACACAATTTAAATAAAATCGGATCATAATTACAAAACTCGTCCGCCATTTTTGAGCCGCCACTTTGCTTTTTGGTCTAGCTAAAATTTCATGATGCAATTCCACCCGAACTATGTAATACCGGTGAAGCTAATAAAAGAGTGTTGAAAAAGATCTTGCCCCAAATCTCATACTGATCGTTATTATTTTTATGGTGCCAGTCGATAGTAAACCTTAATGCCTTGAGCCTTCTAAGGGTTCTAATTCAATGTAAATACATTTCGACATCCTTGATATGTGAATACTTTCTGCACAATTCACCTTGAAACAGCTCTGGTCCAATCGAGATCGCATATTATTCAGATTCTCTCTGCACAAATTTTTGATTATTGAGGTTATGTAGTGATTACTCACAATTTGGAACTGAAATGATTAAATAAGCAATTAGGTATAGTAGCTACCCACCATATTTCAGGATCCGATCTCGAATGATTCAGAAGTTACAGCACTGACCGTTTTTGTGCAGTATTTTCTATATACCATAGTCACACAGTTTGAATATTCCAGGAGACTTCAGCGGAGAGATAGAAGCAGCACTAGTTAGAGGGACATTCCACAAAAACGAAGTCTTCGAAGATCCATTTCAACCACCCAAACTTGAAACAGCAGTGGTACAACAACTCGAAGAAGTGGTTGAGAAGCTTCTAGTCATCAAAGAAGTAGAACCTTCAATCACCAAATATAATATCGAACCGAATATCGAAGAGCCTTTTAGTAAACTTTCGCCGACAAAGCAATTTCCTCTTCATCAGGTTCTAGACGATACCATATCGATTAAAAATTCGGATACGATGGCGGTTCTACAAGAAAACTTATCATTCATTGTGAGACTAGACGATCCCATCAAAATGAAATTAGGAGATGCGTTTTTATCAAAAGGTACTGAGACCATCGAAGCTCCCGTTCAAAAGGAAAATTTACATTTATCCCATACCCTCAATTTTGAAACTGAAATGGAAGTGGACAATGAGGTTATGAAAAAATCCGAACTTTCTAGAAAAGACTCGAATCGTGAACAGGAGGAACTGGATTGCCGAATCAAGAAAATCAAAGCAGATTCTGAGGATATCGAAGAGTTTCGCAAAGAAAATCTCACTAGAGATTTCAAAGAAAAAGAAGAGGACAGCGCAGTTCCAAGGAAGAAAGAAAAGGTCGATACATTCTTAAAAAAAAGGAGAGACTACAATCAGGAATTTGGAAGTCTAATCACTTTTCCTAGAAGAGAGAATGGGGTTAGAAATAGAGATCCAATCAACAGAAGATCTGTGCCCATGGTTAGAGAAAAGAAAAGGAATAATGATGCTTTGGGTGAGTATTATCATTTCTCTCCTTGTCTACAATTTCTTTTTTCGCCTACCATAGACAATGTATGAAAGTGAATGATATCATCCCTAAAAATGTGACCGAAAGTAATTGACGTTTCACATGCATTTTCATTGAAGGTCACTGTGAATCAAAGTTTGGAATCAAGAGAATAATGATTATGAAATAGTTATAAAACCAACTATAGTGTATTAATGAAGGCATTGATGATCGAGATATGTTAACGTGCGAGCAAAGCGAGCGCGTTAGTGACGAGCTTACAGTATCTTCATATCGAAAATCAGTCGGGAGAAATTCATGAAAATGTGCATGGTTATATTTTAGGATACGCTCTCTTCATTCAAATATTTTCGACAATGCAGTGTTGACGCTTCTACTAGAAAGTAGTAGCAACATTGATATTTCAAATAGAATACCCTAAATTTTATCGCATTTATAAATTCTTCCTGAAGAGCTGATTTCATCAATATATCCATATATCACACTTGTTGTCTATCGAAAATCATTACATTGATATGGGGTGTTCAAAATCGAGATTTGTCAATTTTAGGATTTTTTTTGTGTTGATACTATTCATTATCGGTCGAAACGGCTCACATTTCCCTATCTCAACTTTTGATTCACCATTTACTGTAATTTAATCGGAACAGATATAGGGTGGTTCAAGATTCAAAATTCTGATCACCCCGAGGATCTGTTCCGATTAAATATCAGTAAATATTACATCAAAAGTTGAGAAAGGGACATTTGAGCCGTTTTGGCCGATAATGAATAGTTTCGACACAAACGAATCCTAAAGTTGAAAAATCTAGATTTTGACACCCTATAACTCTCTAATCATTTCTGATAGGCCCCAAGTGTGATGTATCGATGAAATCAAACCTTCAGGAAGAATCTAAAAATGCAATAGAATACAGGGTATTCTATTTGAAATAAGAAAGTTGCTGCTACTTTTTGATAGAAGTGGCAACACTGCATTGCTGAAAATATTTTGAATGAAGAGAGCGTATTCTAAAATATAAGCATGCATATTTTCATGGATTCTTCCCGACTGATTCTCGATATAGAGATAGTGTAAGCTCATCGTGACATACCCTGTATATTTCTTCTGCTATGACGAAAACTTGGTTCATGATTTGATCATTCATCTGAAAACTACCAACAATTCCCAGAAGCCCTGAAGGTCATCTTTTACTGACATTAGTGACAACTAATACCATTTGTCGAAATAATCAGCATGGAAAATATAGTATTTTGTTTAACGAGCACGGAATGTTAGTCATTTCCCAAGCACTGGCGCACCCAGGGGGTGGGCTTTAGGGCTCGAGCCCCCCCCAAGACAAAGTGTCAGAAAAATATTTTTCGCAAATATCACTTTTATCATTAAAGACTGCATACGGGTATACAATGCCGCTAAGTAAATTTTTACAAACAAAAAATATGGATATATGTAGTGCTTTCAATTTTGCGGAAACTGTAATTCTTCAGCTGCAATCACTCAGAGAAGAAGCTGATACAGGATTTCATCAAATATTCTTGAATGGACAAGACCTTTTGAAAAATAATTTTGGGATTGAAATAACGGTACCCAGAACTGTGTCTAGACAAAAGCATAGATCCAATATAACTACTAATACCCCTGAAGAATATTACAAAATCACAATTTATTTACAATTATTAGATGCTCTCATTATGAATATGAAGGAACGATTTTCAATACACAAAGAAATTATTAAGACATTCAAAGTATTATTACCAGATCCAAATAATATAGAACAAAATCTCAATGATTTTTCAAAACTACATGCTTTTTATTTTGAAAATGGACATTCTTTTTTTGAAGATGTGATGATATCTACTGAATCCCATAACTACCAGTACGGCTGAAAGGTCATTCTCATCATTGAGAACATTGAAAACTTACTTAAGAAGTACTACTGCGCAAAACCGGCTGAATGGTCTGGCATCACTTTTTATTCATAAAGATATATCGGTGTCTCCTGAGGAAATATTAGATAATATGACTTCTAAAAGAAGGAAACTAGATTTTTAAGAATTGTTGATTTTGCACAAAATGTTTTTACCTTCAGAATGATTTTTTAATAGAAATTACATATGTATCATTCTGTTTATCATTGTTTTTCATTTTCCCAGAATTGAACCCTAATTTATATATTTTACTATTTTCATTGGCTTCTATGAGCCCCCCCCAAGAGAAATTCCTGAGTGCGCCAGTGTTCCCAAGAGAATGAAGTTTGCAGCAGCAGCCGTAGGTGAATGCTGCAAATCATACGAGTGGGAAATTAACATTCCGTGCAAGTTATACACTACAATTTTTCTACGGATGTAACAGAGAGAGAACATTGAAATTTTTTATTTCTTCAGCTTTTATGCCATCTGATTTTCTCTCGAGTATTGCTCATCCATTAGACAGAGCTGTTCTCGGAGCTGTCATTGCTTGAAATTTGACATTTCATGGGAAACGAGATTTTGTGAAAAAATAATACACAATGAAGTCATTGTGATATCAGATACTGAAATGAAATTGATGACCTACAAAGTTCCTCATCGATTTATCAGTCACAGTAAAACAAAAGCAATGTGTTATAACCGTAGAAAAAATTCTTTTTAACGAGAAAATACTCAAAGTCGTCTGCACAAGTTTACTGGCGGAATGTGCAGTCAATTCTGCTTCATTACTTTTGATTGGGACATGTTTCGATCATTCAAATGGTCATCATCAGTCATAGTACTAATAAAGTTGATGTGGAAGCAGTGGCTATAACATCATGAAGACGAAAAAATTATTCAGAAGACAATTCAATTAATGTTCGAAAAACCCCACAAGCCACGTGATTTTGTCATTATGACAGCGAAAAAAAATGTACCTAACTTTTCCAGCGACAATAACGGAACCTAACTTTTGAAAGCATGACAACCAGCCATAAACAAATGTTTGATAAATTAAATTGTCTTACCGAATTACACTGTAGCTTTTTTTTTTAGTTGAAGTGAACTTGGCATATATAATTCGAATTTTGTTGCCATTAGGTAATTCAACTCAAAAAACTGTCAGAAAAAATTACTCGTCCTACGGACTCCGTAATTTTTTCAGAGGCAGTTTTTTCGTCAAATTGCCATCAGGCAACAAGATCCTTATTGATACATGTCAAGTTTACTTCGACAAAAAAAAGCTCTCGTGTAATTAAAAGTGAAAATTCTTTTTGTTACAAAACAGGGAATAAATTCGGTCCAGAAACTTCAGAAGGCTATAACCCGTTACCGTGAAATATTCTATGAAATCTATATTTTCGTTTTGAATGCAGATTAGAAATTTAAGATTTTTGTTGTAGGTATGTTCTGATTTTTTTTGTTTTTGGTAGGTGAAAAACAGTTGTGTGTCACCCAGCAGGAATATACTGATTTTCTACGGCTATTACACAAAATTGCTTTTTGTTTTACTGTGTTCGATAAATTAATATGATGTCAACAATATTATTTCAGTGGGTGGCGGAAATTTGATCGAAAGACAAATGATAGAAACATTTGATAGAAGTCTTTTGATCGAAATGCATTTGATCGAATGTTTTCTGATAGAAAATACATTCGATAGAAACATAAATAATAGAAAATACAATTGATAGGCAAAATATTTGATAGAAAATACACTCGATGGAAACAGCATTTGATAGAAAATTGAACGGTGCTACGCTCAAGTTAGGTCAGTACGTTTGTGAAGATATGATCCTTCTTCATATATTTGAGAAGAAGGAGCTAGATGGAAATCGAAGCTTATGAATTTATTGATACCACAAACTTCAGCTCCTTCTTCTCAGATATATGAGGAAGGATCATATCTTCACAAACGAACTGACCTAACTTGAGCGTAGCCCCGTTGAATGTTTTATCAAATGCTGTTTCTATCAAGTGTATTTTCTATCAAATATGTTTTCTATAAATTGTATTTTCTATCATATATGTTTCTATCAAATGTATTTTCTATCATAAAACATTCGATAGAATGTATTTTCGGTGAAAAGTTCTTTCTATTTTTCGATTTTCGATCAAAAGACTTCTATCAAATGTTTTTCTATCATTTGTGTTTCGATCAAATTTCCGCCACCCTATTTCCGTATCTGATATCACAATGACTTCATTTATGTTATTATTTCACAAAATCCCATCTCCCATGAAATGTTCAAACAATGACAGCTCGGTCTAATAGATGAGCATCATTTAAGAAAGAATCAGATGGCTACAAGCCGAACAAATCAAAAATTTCGCTGTTATCTGTTACAGCCGTAGGAAAAGTATAGCCTACGGCTCATTCTGCAAACTTATTCATTCTCATGGCAAATGATTATCATTTCGTGCTCGTTAAACAACTAACAGCTATTGTGGTTCAATTTTGTGTTCAGAGCCAGTTATAGGGCTAGGGCATTTTAGGATCATACCAGATCATACCTGAGAGCCAAACTGTATTAACTCACAAAAATCAAATTTTACAGCAGAGCAATTTCAAAGTTTTTATAGACATTAAGTTGACACAAAATATGTATATTCAATAACTATCATAGGAACAAAAAATGAACTCAATAGTAGAATGTGGATATCAATTTTCCCTTTTATAATTCTCACAAATTCTTCATTAATTTTTCAAAAAAAAAAAAAAAAGTCAATTTGATGGAGTTAATACCATTTGGCCCTAATACTTCGATGAAAAACTGTATTGAATACTTTTTTTCAAAATGAGAATGGAGTTAATATGGGCAATAAAATACTGTTAATGTATTCTGAAATTATTCATTTTTAATTATTAATGATTGCAAGATCAAAAAAGGACAGGAAACTGAAGCTAAATACTGTTGATTATTGAATATCGTCCGTTGTCTTATCAGAATGAGCTAAATTTTTATAAAAACCGTGTAAAATGCTTGGAATCCAAGGCAGTAAAAACTGTAGGTGGTTATAATCCTTGATCGAAATTTCATTTGCTTCCTCACGGATTTGAGAAAAAGGGTCAGGAAAAACAACACGCCTGCCATTTCTTTCAAGATCGACACATTTAAACGTGGTTGCCTCAAAATGTGATTTGAAATACAATAATACACCTATATTTTCATTGCGTGCTCGTAGGAGAACCACGTTTGACATACGAAAATCTTCACTTTCCTCATCTCTTACGTACAGCAAAGAGTGAGCAATAAGAAGTGTATAGAGATTTAAAATTTCCAAAATCAGGTGCTTCCATATTAGCAACATTGAAAGTTTTTGACAGACAACACAGCCTTGCGAGTTGCTACCATTCCCAGAGCGTCATCACTTTCGAAAATGGGGTTCGATTTCGTTTTGCGTATGCGTAGCAGAAATTTGTGATCCAAAAATATGCCATTATCATAATCATGTTACGGTTTTGGTATTGAGAGTTATCTGACCAGATAATAATTTCTTTTACGCTCTCACTTGAAGTCTCTGCCCATTTGAGAATGCCAGAAGCCATTTGATTTGCCCCACGTCCTGACATATGGATTCGTCCCACATAATACAGGCACTAAAAACTGTATTGTCCTTACCCACAAATTTTCTATAACAATATCAACTTCATAATACTCTCTTGCTCGGAAAAACTGTATTTTGTCCACACATATGTTGAGTTTTTTTAACAATATTAACTCCATATAATACCCTTTTGCTCGGAGAAAATTAATGATATAATACTGTTTAACTTTGGCTAACTTCGAAAGTATATTATATAGGACTCAATACTATATTCCATGTGAGAAAGCGAGTGTCTTTTAGAAGGAAGAGAACTTGATACCGATTTGAGAAAAAATGAAGTTAATACAGTTTGGCTCTCAGATACGTACCTACTTATAGCTTATTAGTTTATATATAGGTACTGCATAATATACTTTTCCAATTATTTCTGAATATTATCTCAACTTCTTATACGCCATCGTATCCTCATCTTATAGGTGGATTCGACGTATACAATATCGAAACTGCCATGCCAAAGATCGATCTTGAAGCGATTGAATGCCACCTGAGGGCTGCACGTGAAGAAGAACGAAGGGTAAGTGCTTTTTGATGTGCTTTTTCTCTTTTCTTGTTCACGATTGAATGCCCGTGTTTTCCAATGGCTGATGGGAATTCATGGTCGAAGCCTTTTGCAAACAAAAGCGGTATATACATATACAGTGTGACCAAGATGAGGTTGCACAGCATGGCGATATCGGAAACGGGAGGAGATACGAATTCGGTTGAGTGGGAGAGAAATGCGCATTCCGACGGTTATTCCGACGGCCTTCAAAAATTTTCAAAATTGTTTATAGTTTTTCAGATATGTGTGTCAAAGTGGAATATGTAATGGTCACAAAGAGAAAAACTCAGTCATTACCACAATAGTTCATGAAATGAACGAAAATGCTAGATAACGAGAGAAAACAACTACTTTCCTCGCTATATGCCACGCAGAACATTGGAATACATCCTCCCGAAATCTATGCAATAATTCTCATAAAACGAATAAAATCGCAAGTGTTTCCTTCTTGAACGCTGAGCTGCGCCTAAGTGGTTCAGGAACGCGTGACTACCTACACACCGATTCAAACTTTTATTTCTCAACTTAAACATGAATAACATTTATGTGGGTATATATAAAACCTAATATAACATGTAAATAAAACAGCAACATATGAAACATTACGGTAACAATACACGTTAAAACCCTCTGGGGACACCTCCCGGTGCCCAGAGGTCGGCCACGAATGGTCCAGGGGGGTCGGTTTTTACACAACACACATGATAGATATGATGGGCAGGCTATGTCCCAGGACGGGGTCCTATCCATGGCCAATATCAGCGAGATGCTCAGGGCGAGCGAAAATTCAACGTTCAGATTTGATGCTTCCAAGATCTCTCTAAATTAGGTGATTTAATTAGTGGAAAATGAAAATAAAAAACCACTATTTCAATACTTCCAAGTGCAACTGCCATGGGGTGGTGTGGGTAAGGGTTGGGGATGGGTTTGGTAGGAAGGTATAGGACTAACAGACTGAATTTAAGCGAGTATCGGTTAGTCGGATGTGGTCCGAGTGAATATTCACTGGCTCGGCTAGTGGTTGTGCCAAATTACTAACTTCGCCCACTTTGGGCTGGATGTGATCAGTCGTTCGGTCGGAACCAGAGCATTTGATCTTCGGGTCGACCGAACCACCTTATAAACCTCGAATAATTCCCGTTTTAGGGAGTTTGAGAGCGCGTTCAGTCTATTGGGAAAAAATGGGAGGGTGGGATTTTATTCCAGGGGTTCCCTGAAAATACCGCACGCTTCGTATATTAGCCCGTGTTTTCTACGTTGGACATGATCTGCCCTGATTGAGGTGATATCGTTGGTTAATTCGCTATTGCGAATGTGATACCTATAAAATTTATCTGATAGTTTCAGAATGTAATCTCTTATGAGAGGCAGATCATGGCACTGTGAATGCAAGTCTACCACTCGAGTGTATCTGTTACCGTTGGTAATAATACGGAGTACCTTATTCTGTAGTATTTGTAATCTACTCATATGAGTAGACGAAATACTACAGAATACTGGGCAGGCGTATGTTAATGTTGGCCGGATTATTTGTTTGTAAATCAGGAGTTTGTTGTCCAGTGATAGCGAGGAGTTCCTTGCCAACAAAGGATACAAGCTCCTGATTGTCGCGTTGGTTTTTGCTAAAAGATATCCAGTATTAGCGAAGAAGTTCATACGTCTGTCCAGTTTGACTCCCAGGTATTTCACGGAGGCCTTGACCTCCACCTCAGTGTCCTTGACACGCAAAGGTTGGAATAGAGTGTTGTTTGTGTATTTTCTAGAGAAGTTTATGATTTCTGTTTTGGCATGATTTATTCCAATCTTCGCGTTGTCAAGATACGGAATGACCCTCCTGTCCAGGTGTTCCTGGATCTGAGCCCTGGCGACATCCGAGAAGTACGAGTGTGCATATATTGCAGTATCATCCGCATATAATGCAGTACTCGCATTATCGCACACAGGAAGGTCATAAGTATATAAAGAGTACAGCAGAGGTGAAATGCACGACCCCTGTGGAACACCTGCCTCGAGTGGAAATTGTCTGGAAATAGTGTTGTTAATTTTGACTTTAATGTTGCGACGGGCTAAATACGAGTCGATCAACTTAACAATGAACATGGGCATCCCTGCAGATGCCAACTTATACATCAACCCCTCGTGCCAAACGGTGTCGAATGCTTTTTCAATATCCATCAGGACCATAACCGTGTTTCCATCTTGGCTGAAGGCTTCTTTGATCCCGTGAACAATTCGAGCAACTTGGGACGTTGTACTGTGTCCCTTGCGGAACCCGAATTGCTCAGGAGGGATCACACTCAGGTCTTCTGCAAGAGTGTCAACCATATGGAGAATTGTCTTATCTATGACTCTGGCTACTATGCTGAGCAGAGAGATAGGGCGGTAGCTACCTGGTAATTTGGGATTTTTGCCTGGTTTCAGAATGGGCACAACAATCCCAGTTTTTAGGGACTCTGGGTAGTGCTGTGTCCTGATAATAGCATTGATAATGTAGTGTAATTGAACAATGGTTTTTCGAGGCATGTTTTTCATGAGAATCACATCGATACCGTCGGGTCCTGGAGCTTTATTGAGGGTTAGACATCTTATATCATTTGACACCTTCTTTGGGGTGGTTAGGAATTTGCTGAGGGCTCGACGGGTCAAAGGGATACTAGGAATGGTCCGATAGTTGGCTGCCACCCTCAATACTTCCACTTGCTGATCGTTCTGAGGGGTCTTGTCTATTTTATTAATACTATGAAAATAGCTTCCAAGCGCCTCCGCCTTTTCAGGATCTGTCACCGCATCCCCAGTGCGGCACTCTAGAGAAGGAATGGATTCGAACCTTCGTCTAAGTCCTCTTGTCATCTTCCATAGGGTGCCGTCCTGTGGACTCAAATTCTCCTCTTTGGTTCTCCAGGCTGCATTCCTGACCTCACGAATTCTATTGTCGACTAGGCTTCCGAGTCTTCTGAACTCTAGTCTGCTTTCTCGTGTTTTTACCCGTTGCCACGTTCTTCTAGCGCGTTTCCTTTGAGCGATTAGGTCAAGAATATCATCCGGAAGGTGGTCCTTAGTGGAGCTGATGGTGACCTTACGTGTGGATGCTGCTCTTGCATCCTGGATGTTCTTGACGAGGGTTTTTATTTGTTCGTCAATTTCATCCAGGGTGATATTGGATTTTATTATTGTATTTTCGTTCAGATGAGCTCTGTATACCCTCCAGTCGGTTCTTTTATAATCGAAAATAGATTTTTTAATGTCGGGCACTTTCGTGCCTGATTCGAAAAGGACCGGAAGATGGTCAGAGCTCATCTCGTCTACAACCCGGATTTTCGTAACGTCCACAACGTTTTTAGTCACCATCAGGTCAATGATGGTTTCCGGTTTCGAGCTGTTGGCTTTCATCAGTGCAGGGCTGTCCCAGATAGCTTCTTGACTGCTATCTGGTGCGAACTTGACCCAACAGATAGGGATCTCAGCATTTATACCCCACGAGGCGTTCAACGTCCGCGAAATGAAACGCGAACGCCGAACGCCACCTGGCAAGGAAATAAACACTCCAAAACAATATCTCATTTCAGGTGAAATGAGAGTGGCTGGTTGCCCGACTGGCGTATATTCAACTAGGATGTAACTCGTGGGGTAAAAATGCTGAGAAGCGTTTATGTTGGGTCAGGTTCGCGCCAGATAGCGGTCAAGAAGCTATCTGGGACAACCCAGCACGGATAAGAGCCAACAGCTCGAAACCGTTCTGTAGGTAGTCACGCGTTCCTGAACCACTTAGGCGCAGCTCGGCGTTTAGGAAGGAAACACTTGCGATTTTATTCGTCTATACGAATTATTGCATAGATTTTGGGAGGATCTAATTCAATATTCTGCGTGGCATATAGCCAGGAAAGTAGCTGTTTTTCTCTTGTTATCTACCATTTTCATTCATTTTATGAAATATTGTGGTAATGACTTTGAGTTTCTCTCTTTGTGGTGATATTGATTTCTCCACGCGACATTTCGTATTAGTAAAACCATCCTTATCATCATGTGTTCACAGATTATGATAGTTATTTCATTCATATATTACTCAAACTGGTTTGAATGTGTTTCGACATAGTTTCAGCTATATTCTATGTTTTTAGGAAATTTCAAATAGGAAATACCATCAGTTATCAGTCCAACTTATTTCTGATCATTCAGTGTCGAACATTGATGTGGGGTATTCATTTTACACCTACTGAAAAGTAAAAAAAACTATTTTTCAAATTATTCAATGCAGCGTTTCAAATTGGAGGCTATTGATTCGTTTTCTGTAATTAAGGTTCTTTCCGGTGAGTACTAAGAAACTGAGGTACAGAAATAAGTAATGTTGATTCTTTGAGTTGTACATCAATAATTTGATGTAGATTCTGATTATTGTTAATAAAAATCGAAAAAGACCATACTTTCCGAAAACACTCGTATCTTTACTTAGAAATGAGATGAATCATGAACTATTGTGATAATAAGGAATCACACTTCAATACAAAGCAAAATGAAGCCAAGTTCAAGCACTGAATTTCCCCACAGGGCGTTAAAAAGTAACTTTGGGTTTTCCCTGTATAATGATCTATAGTCATCAGCTCTTCACGAAAAATAAACATTCCGGAACATTGAGATGTATAACCATGAATATTTTGAAGTTAGAATTGTATTCGATGCGATTATTTTTCGAATAGTTCCTTACGGACGTCAACATTTTACGTTAGTACATTGTTTTATTAGGATCGAATGTGACCCTTTGTTTGACAAGCGATATTTGCGTTTGCGAGGCGAAGCGACCGCAAAGCCGAGCACGCAAATTTTGCGAGTCAAACAGAGTCACTTTCGATCCGAATGAAACATGCTATTTTTTGCAATCGGAATAATTGATATCTAATTAATAAAATATAAGCGAAAAATTTTGAGTCACTTGAGCATGTCAGTGTCCAAGCAGCTATATCATCCGACACGTTTTTAGCTCCTAGAAGTTAAACTTCAACTTTAGCTCCTAGACACGAAAAGTGTTGCAACATACGTACTAATCATTTTATTGTGTCAGTAACAGAAACGTCAACTTCAAGAGCGCTAATTTTTGAACAAAAATGGAGGACTTTTGAGCCGATTGTAGAGAAAAATATGAGTTGGTTACTTTGGAAATGATTCTAAATTTCTGGCGAAGTGACTGCATATATGTATATCCACGTATATTCGAAATTATACAAGGGCTTAACTCAATTGAACATTCTGATTGGTTTAAAATCATACGGAGACAATTTGATTCATGTATGAAAAATCCCACAAGCCGCGTGATGTTGTCATTATGACAGCGAAAAAAGTTTGCCCTAACTTTTCCAGCCACAATAACGGAACCTAACTCTTGAAAGCATGACAACCAACCATAAACAAATGTTTGATGAATTATATTGTCTTACCGAATTATACTCTAGCTTTTTCAGTCGAAGTAAACTTGGCATTTATAATTCGAATTTTGTGGCCATTAGGTAATTCAAGTCGAAAAACTGCCAGAAGTTACTATCGTCCTACGGACTCGTAATTTCTTCAGAGGCAGTTTTTTTCGTCAAATTGCTAGGCTACAAAATTCTTATTGATGCATGTCAAGTTTACTTCGACAAAAAAAAGCTCTCGTGTAATTATAAGTGAAAATAATCAGCGAGATCCTAACAATCTCCAACTGTTTAGATATCCTGCATGACTGGTGCTTATATCACAGTCGGAAGCACCAAGCACCATACAAATACAAAGACAAGAAGAAAACGGTACATGAATCCGAGGAAAAAATCAAGAATCAGGAATCTATGGGTTGCGTGCAAG